TCTTATTATTTTTCCTAATAATTTTCGTGGAATCAATTTAATGTAGAATACTTATATCTAAGTCTGGTAATTGTTAGTTGTTTGGCTCGGTTTTTTTATCAGCAAATGATCTTGAATTAAATTACAGAATTATTGAGTATATTCATTTTGAAAAAACAAACAAAATATTTTCATTCGGTAACGAAGCAAACCGAATAGTCTAGTGATTCCTTGAAGTCCACTTGTAGGTTAAACAAGAGGTCATCTCTTGATGAGTTAGCTTGAAATATATGGTAAATTGATCTACGCTTATTTTTTGGCTTTATACATATTTTGTTGGCTTTTATAATTGTTCACTAGTTGTGTCCAATCTGACCAATAACAGTTGAATTACGTTGATAGAGTTGTAAACCACAAGAAAGTAACTAGTATACAGTTTTTTCATTCACAGGTTAATTGTTTATAGGTACGTATTTGTATTTATCGCATCCCATTTTACTGGCAATTAAGTAAATTTTAGAATGTTTAGCTGAAAAAATCAGTACTCAAAAAACTTATTTCGTTGTATTCCTTTAGATGGGAGTGATTTATTTGACTTGTACTCAGTTGAGGATAATTGGAAGTTGAATTTAAAAAGACAATATAATGAAGTTTTCTGGACAACAAACCAATAAATTTTCAATGGATAGACAGAAACTTGCTTGGTTGTAAATAATCATTTTTCTATTTTTAAATAGAAAGTCGTTTTTACTGACTAGCTGTTTTGAGTTACTTATTTGGTACATGAAATCTAGTTTCTGATGAATAAAGTCTTATGTAAATCAAGATTTAATTGCTCAAAAATAAGTGTCAGTTAAATAACTTCTTAAGTTATTCAGTGTTACTATAGTGTACCGTGGAGATTATGCGAAATGGTTGATAGTTCGTTTTCTGATTAGTGTAGTGTTACATATGTTTTTTTCCTATATTTCCTTCGTCTTCACTATCCCGTCACTGTAACCTCAGCCTATGATTCTTTAGTCTGTAACTGGTCAGTATCAAGAGCCGTATCATTTAATCGCTGATAACTGAATTTCGTTTAGCCAGTTTACAATGTTATGATCAAAGTTTTATTCAGTGTTACAGTCTATTTAATTTAATCTTAGATGGATAGAAGTTATCGGGCAGTAGCTCCATATTTTGTGCTTGTCAGTACACATGCACAGATGTTAAATGCATTTATTTACCCTCAGAAATTTCACTATCTAATTAATCAGACACCTGATTGGATACCGGCTCAGTAATCTAAGGGTTATGTGTTCGTCGCAAAACTAAGGGTCTTGAGTTCGATCGCTTTTGTAGTCGTGACTGTGCGCTGATGAAGAGCTCCATACTAGGACGAAACAACTCATCAGAACTTCCTGTTTTCCAGTTGTTGACTAAGTAAGATTAGTCCTTGATGTAAATTACGAAGACACGTAATCATTAAATCAACAATACTAGATGGAGATCTGAGTTTCCTTGAAGTTATTGACACATCTTTCGATTACCTTCAATTGTCACTTGTCAATCCATTCTGCTATTCTCATGATAAGTTAATTTCGAAACAGTTACAATCAAATATGTCTCGTCAAGGTTGTATGTCAAAATGAATCCCAACATGATTACTTTACATTGGGTAGCTGGATAATCTATCCAAAGCTTACTACTATATATACTCTCTGGGTTATCTTTCCACTAAACACACATGAACTTATCAGTGGTCGGTTAATAGGACTTCCTACATTGGGTCTTTTTCCTTTATCTGGTTAAAGTTAATTAAATGTAAGAAGTTTGTGTTTGTAACTTGGTTGAAACACATCAAATTGATGGAACATCCATAGGTAGCCCCCTGGGCCGAATTCTGGGTGATATATTTATAGGGAACCTTAAACAGATGAAACGTCAGTGCACAACCGAAGGAAGTACATTGTATTGTAAACATTAATGAGACATTTCATGTCTACAACAATCGGAAGCATTCCGTGTACCTACTCAATCTGTCTAACAAAACATACAACCATAGGTTTTACTATGGAACATGAAGTGGAAGGTAAATTCCATTTCTTGGATGTTGGAATCAAGCGAACTTCAGATGACATACTACGAAGACACATGCACCTCAAAAAAGCATGGATTGGAGTTTATCTAAATTACAACAGCTGTCCAATAGGTTACAACAATTGGATTGTATGAACCGTTTCTGACTGCGCTCGTAAAACTTGCTCAAAGGAAAACCTGGAAGAAAAACTTACCTTCATTACAACCCGCCTGCGTGAAAATGCATATCCAGCAAAATTCATCGAGAAGTATGCAAAAACCAACGGACGTATCAAATAAGATACAGTAGGAAAGAAAACCTGTTTTTCATATCTGCGTTTCAAAGGAAATGAAATTACTGAAATGATGAAACTTAGGATAGATGCTGCGATGAACGTTGCTTATCCATCGGCAGGACCGACGAAGTTATATGAAATGAACTGCTCACTCAAACATACAAAGATTGACAGGTCCACTTTTCTCAGTACTTCCAACTGAATTTAACAGTATACATTTACGTCTCAAAGTGCATGCATCGGAAGAACAAAGAAAAGAGTATAGGTTCACACTTTCTATCACGTTTCAGGGAATTTGAGACTGATAGTCACTATGGCTTCATATTGTGCAATAGCTCGGCATTTGATTGATACTGAGCACACCACTGACAGTACACAATCCTCTATAATTATCAGTGGACAAAAAGCACCGCGTCTCCGGTTTACTGAAGCAGCAACAATAAAGAAACTCGGACCTTGGTTAATTACTATTGTCAATATTATTATCAGTACTTTAATAGTGTTTATTCTATTATGTGGTCTTGGCCAAACTAATTCTTATTTTATGTACACTAAAATCATCCCTTCATTCATCGGTTTTTTCATTCACCTAGTTCTCAAAAAATTATGTAAACTCTTCAAATTCTGGTAATTGCTACGTAACCCATCTTATTAGTTTCTAATTCAAAACAATTACCGTTGATGATACGACTGATGTATTTCGTACTGAAACCAAGAAGAAATGCATGATGGTAAAAGTCAGGAAGCTCTTATCAGATAGTTTTCAGTCAGTGATACAGATAAAAGAGCGCATGAATCCACATCAAATGGTATCCAATTGAATCCATACAAAACGGTAGTTGGATGTCAACAGCATACAATAACTACCCATACTCCGAAACGTATCCAGTTATAATTCAGTAGGGGAAAGCCATATGCTGTAAACTACTCAGTCACAATTAGTTCTCAGTGTCGTGGAAGAACCATTAGTTTTACAACATTATGGTTTTTGTTGTTTGGAAATAGAGAAACGCACTAGGTTATGTGAAGTTTAGGAAGGCAAACTTTAGGAATGCTGACACATTAAAAGTACTGCAGAAAAACTCCATAGATTACAGCTTCCCTGGTATATTTGTAAATACACGAGTTACATGAATGTAGTAAACTTCATCTACTTCAATGAATAAATTCAGAACTTTAAAAAAGCTAAACAGTCTAACTTGAATTTACAGAGTAGAACTGTGATTTTTTAAATTTGCAAAAATTAGGATGTATTCCACATTACGTTTGCATTTACCTAGCATATGAAGTTAACCAATACTAGGGCTGGAAGATAGCTATTAACAGGTTTGATTTATGAAAAGAACCTTGCCACCACATTTTCTATAAGGTTTGAAAGAAATTAATAAAAATATTCAAGTTAAACTTCCTTTTAATTTGAAAGTATACAACATCCGTTAGAATCTGCAGAATTGACGCATACTAAAACTCGTTAATTTCAGTATAAAGTCAATTGTGTAGTTGGTCGAATGTATTCCCTGCTGAAGTTTATCGTAGCTTAATGTTTTTCTCGCTAACAACCCTGTTGATTGTTTTCGTCAAAATGTATCCCTTAAAACTTTTTGAAAAATCAGTAATTCCAATATTGGAGACATGTAGCATTTATTTTCGTCATCTGTGTGGTAATAAGAGGTTGGTTGGAATTCTAAAAATACTTATTTCATTACTTTTAGTCTGGGTAACATTCGTAAATTTTTCATAATGTTGAAACCACTCAGCTTTCAGTCGCTCTCTATCTACATAGGTTTGGACAATTGGAAAGTAAGTACACGGCCTCTCACAAAACCAGTATTGTACGAAGCTGAGTATATGAATTTTATCCATAACATTAATTGGGAACTAAGCAGGTACTCTTTTTCAGGCGATTCTGACTGATAGTTTGTTGGTGCTCGTTATTTATGAAAGATTTTTTAAGAAATTGCTCATCAAACATAGTACCTACCACAGATTTGGAGTCTACATTACTGTAGTACATCTGTTTGCTTTTCTGAAGCTATGAAATATAGCACTTATTGGTAAACGTGCAAGAAACTGATGTTAAGAGTTTGATAATATTAACGGTTACATTCGGCGATCGTAACCACACAGATAGTTTAGGTCCAGGATCGCTAGTAAATTAATGATTCTAAACGTCGAACACTTTGCTTGAACAAAATAAGAAAACATAACATGCGTATGTAAATGTATAACGTGTCATGGAACTTGTGGTCCGATTGTGTTTCTTTCGATATTCTTTCAATATAAAGGTTCGTTTAAAAATTCACTGATGTCAGCTAGATTACTATTGAAAGTCCAGTACTGAAAAACTGTTCCATCGTAGAATCTATTACATCAGCAATGCTTATTCAGGGTTAAATCCAGGATTTCCAGTTCTCACAGTTTGTAAGATATTACTCAGTCGCTTAATACAGGAGTCAGCTTTTGCAACCTCAGCATTTAGCAACGGAACACAGTCATCACCGAATATCATCGATGTGCACACAACTTCCTTTAAATTTATTAGACTTTAGGGAGGGAGATTACCGGCCTAAGCTTTGTCAAACTCATTTCAAAACAAGCCTATAACGAGGTGGATTACTATTGAATAAGGCTTCGATAAAAATAAATTTTATCAAGTATATTTTAAATCGCAGTCTAAGATCAGCTAAAAATCAATAAAGACCTGAATATGAAACAAAACAGCAAATATATGGTCCTATATACTTTCAATGGCGATTCGTAATGAGAATGATTTGAAAGTGGTAAGTAACTTCATGTTTTCCAGTACACAAAACAATACAAATTATTTTTAGACGCAAAATCTATTTACCATAAACCCTATTCGATAATTAGACTAAAAGAAACAGTACAGAACAGAAGGCAGTTTGTATTATAATGAAAGACGTTTTTTTTGTTTCTAACTCTTGTTTTTTTTACAGTTTATTAGTAATCAAGTGTGAATTTATAGAAATATAGAAATATTGCATAAGCTGAATGCAATGTGAAGAATGAACCTGTCTGTTATTTGTACATACATTTATTCATACAGAAACACAATAGTGATTTGTGTAGTTTGTTTAAAAATGAAGTGCGAATCAAAAGATTTTAAAATATAAGATACTTTTTATTTTCAATCTAATAAATAGTTTGCTTTTTTTCATCTGTAAACAAAATGAAATAGAATGAAATCATAAGGAAACTTATAAATTAATCACTTTATCTGAACTTTGGTAATGTTAAATAATAGAATTGATTAAAATGAAGTCAGAGCGCAAAATAAGAAACAGGGAAGATAAACATAGAAGCAAAACAAAACTTAAGAATATTCATATATAATCTATTATTGAATATTATACAAGGATGGAAATGGTTTATTTCTTACTATTTAACTTTCTTGAAAGAAGCAAATTGAAATAATTGTTGTATCATGATGATGATGATGATGGTGATTAATAACCTGTGCTTTCAGAAATGTTTTCCAGACAGTTTTTACAAGAAATAAATTGATTAGTTGTATCTGTATTAAAAAAATGTTTTGATATGTAGCCAAGTTTTATGTGTATAGTAATTTTAGGAAAAGTATTGTAAATTGACTTAGTAAATTGAACGTACATATCTGCTAATTTTTATATTATATAGTTAGGATATTTCTTTGTTAAGCAATCATCTCCCGTTGATTAGGCAATACTGGTTGTGCTGTTACTGATCTTTCAGTTAATAAACCATATTCTGAATAAGAAGTTTCTTTATCATCAATTGTATTCCTATTTAAGTATGTTTCAGTTGAATTATCAATTTCAACTAAATGAACTTGACCTTGTGTTTCGTAAGTATAAGTTGACATCGGATCATTTAAATCATATTTAGATGAGTCGAACTCTTCACCCCAACCAACATTTTCGTATACACTAAACGATTGCGAAGTAGAGTATCCTCGTGTCTGTAATAAATTTATACAAATACGAAGATGTAAATCATTGTTCAAAGTCATAAAGATAATTAAAATGTTTTTGTTATAAGGAATGTATATGCTTTTGAATTTGAATGAAATTTATTACCACTAGACATGTGCTTTGATCTATAAATCTTGTTTTGACATTCCTAATTATATTATCCTATGGATCTGTGCAATTCGTTCATTTAAACGCTAGATTTGCAACATTCGGGTGACAGAGTTAAAGTTAATTTTATCAAATCAAATTCAATAAGCTAGGGAGCAATCGAATTTTTATACAGTCGATAAACCAGACTGAATGAATTCTATAACTTGTAAACGCTCATAATTATTGTATGTGCACTACAACAAACATGAAATCCAGTGTTACTGGTTTACATTTGTATAAATCCTCGTTAGATTAAACAAAATAACGTAGCGTAATAATTTAATAAATGAAGTGGTTTGAGTAAAAGACTATAGTTTTGGAGTAATAAACTCTACATGTATTGATATTTTTGACCACTTAAATACAGTTGTCACTTTGCATTTATGTTTGAATAGAGTTTGTGTCGAAAATCGATAAAAAGAAGTTATGTGAGAATTTCAGTTTCTTTTGGATATTCAGTTTACAATGGCTTATTGATATTTCTTACATTGTACAAGGTCTAAACTAGTTGAAAAATATCAATGTTTAAATATGAGTTCAGCAGTGTTTATTGATTAATTGGGACTACTCAAGAGTGAACTCATTTCATTTTAAAATATTTTCTGTATTCTATGATCATAATAACAGTCTGATAAAAAAGTGTTTGCAATACATGAATGAATTTCATAAGAATTGACGAGGTTAACTATAAAAATCAGATTTATCCCTTGCAATACAGAAAATTACTACGAATAAGGAATGACTAGTACACTTCATTTATTTATTATTTTTCAAAGACAGTTAAACTAAGTAGGTACTCAGTCGCGACTTGTGAAGATAAATTATATTCATAATTAAACAGTTATCTACCAGAGAGAATAAATGATGTCCACACTACATCTCAACTTGACTGGAGTTGGTAATTTGGACAACTTGATCCTAATATGTTCATTACATTCTTTGTGAAGCCTGAAGTTTCTAGGTTCAAACTCAGGCTGAGTATTATGCTAATAAATCGGATATTAGGACAAAATTACTCTATACTTTGTAGAACGTACTTATCTAATACCAGTCTTTAATGAAAACAAGCTGTGTTATAAGTCATATTTCCCTTTACCTTAAAAAACAGCAAATCAGTGCTCAACAGAACGATTGTATAAGTGCAAGAGTGGGGGGGTGTAAACTTCATCCTCACCACTCTTTGGAGAGAGAGAGAGAGTGAAACACACTAGAAACTATCAGTTCGTAAAAACACAGCTTTGTAAATTATATTAAGAACATGCTTTATCGAATAAATAATATTATTTGTACAACACTCAAAAAATAGGAAACCATAACCATTGTGAAGGAATATTTAAATTCTTCACATCAAGAAATGCAATAGTGGATAAGTTGAGCAATTAAAAGGAAGTTACGAAATGATTGGAAACTAATAAGCTTCGATTAAAGTTAACTTTTCCCAGTTCTAAAACTGTATAGAAAGATTCATTTTACTACTCAAAAATCTATTAATAAGTATACTTAGTATAGTTCAACAGTGGATAAGTAAGAAACTTTCGGCGAATATCTCTTTTATCCATGGTATTCGATGATGAATATAAGTGTATTTAGATAGGAATTTACGTGGTGTTGCATTTTTTTTCAATGAACATACTGATTAATTTGAATTAATCTAATTCAACTTTCCAAGAGGTAAAATATAAAGAGTGGATATTCGAAAAAACTTCCGAAAATTGCAAACTATAAGGGTCCATTATTTTCATAATCTATTTACTATTGCACGTGTAGTTCCCTTTCTTTGATTTGCTATACATGTTATTCCGTTAATACGTGGTTAAATAATTGTTTGTGAGAACTAGTTAAGTTTGGAAATAGTTATGGCCACTAAATGGTGTCCATTAGAAAGTTGCTAAAAAACGGGATAATTTTTGTAGTAGTCTAGAACATCCCAGGAGTTGGAGCTAACAACTCATAGAAAAATTGAATACTGGCTCTTCTGTTCTTACAGTCATCAAGCTATATCTGAAATCATTGGGTTGTTATTTAATTTAACATACGTCGGACTTCATCAGAGTTAAACTGATCATTCCAACGCATCCCATTGAGCAATAGTCGTAAGCTCACTATTAACTAGCTTTTCAATCAGTTCCTGAGTTTTTAGTAGAAAGTCGTGATTGTTGGGATTTACCAATATAAACTATTGAAACCGTTATCAACAAGTGCATTGCATCGTCTGCCCTACAGCTAGTTGAAAATGTGTACCAGTGCATTCATTTCAGTGGCCAATATATATATGTTCACCGCGAGAACTGAAGTATCTGGACCCTTTTGTATGCATATTCTACGACATTAAATAATTAACCAATAATCTCTTTCTCCATATATATATATATATATATATATATATATATATAGTGGTATGGTATGGGGTGCTTGGAAACAATATTTTTAGTGCAGCAGTACAAAACAAATTTACCAAACAACAAAAATCGCACAACACTTTCCCACAAGACATAAAAACCCTTACTTTCGTTTAAAATATTTTGAGTACCCTGGGATAAAACGTCCAAAACATTAGAAATGTACTGAATAACAAGTGAAAAAAATTTTTTTTAAACTGCCATCAAACAGGTTAAAACCTACTGATCTCTGGATAGGAGTTTACCGTTTTTGTGAAATAATTTCATTGATGATGAATATGTAAGTCAGTTTGTGTTATTATTGTTGCGGTAACAAAGTGAAATCTATTCCTTAAATTCAACTAAATACTTTTCTTAACGCAGCAATGAAAGGAAAAACAAACAAGTATTCGGATAAATCATAAAAAGGCCACAAATAAACTGCATGAAAGTGCTCACTTCTTGTTTATGATAAAGTATATAATTACATTTTATTGCCAGGTGTATGCTTAGCTCTATGCAATTTAAATAGCAATTAAATATAAGCTTATTTCTATGGTTATTAAAGCGAATAAAAGAGGTAATATAACGAAGGTTTCATGGAATGTTTTATATGGGAACTATACTTCAAAAGATACTGATGACAAAACATTAAATTAGATAACACTGACAATATTAACAATGACAGTGAAAGACAAGTAGAGTTTCTTGCTGGGTCAATGGTTGCTAATTAGGATGATACGGCTGTCCGGTACTTCCTGGTTCTCAATAATTAACCAACAAAAGTTTTTTTGTGATGAAGCTTTATTTGCATCAAGGGAAGAATCTGGTTATTTCCATATTTTACACTCTAACACTCTACCATGTTCTTGGAAAATTGATGGCTCAGAAAACAAATAATATATGTCGTTAAACCTATTAAGAAATTAGTTATGTAGGAATAGAGATGACCGTTCGCTGCCCGGGCAGCCCAGTAACAACGTTTTTGACTGTTACGTTGTGTAACGCTAGTTAGAATGTCCCATGTAAGCGTAAGTTTCATCAAGAGTATCGGTAAGTCTTTCTGAGATGATTGCCGAACGGAACAAAATTTCCACTTTGAGTTTCCCTTTGACTATATTTAACTACTTAACATTTCACCATAGTGTGTGAAATGTATCTCGTACTTGTGACCAAGTTACAACTTGGCCGATAGAATTCGATCGGCAATAAAAGACTAAACAAACAAGACACTGGTCACTACTCAGTAACTCTTAATATACTAACTCGGTCCTTTATTTCCCTCAATTATTTCAAGTCTTCTATTTACCTTCAACCTTTAAAGTTGTATCAATCGTATGATCTGTCAGTCATTCGTAAAATAACTACATAGACTCAAATATATTTAAATATTTAATAAATTTGGGTATTATTTACTGATTCTGGTTAGCGTTTCCTAGCAAGGCTATTTTCTACGGGGTGAAGTTGCTGACCCTATGCCCAACCCCCCTCCTTTGTGTGGGCTTGCGACTGGCAGTAACCCTAGAGGAGCTACAGGTAGAAATCACCAAACTACATCACGAGGCAAGCCCTAACTTAGAATCCTAAAAGGAACAGAAAAAGAGAAAGACCAAGGAACACACTGCGCCGAGAATTGGAATCAGATATCAATAAGATGGATAACAAGTTGAAACGACTGGAAAGGATTGCCTAGGACGGAGTTGATTAAAAAATGCTGGTGGGCAACCGATGTTCCTCTTCGAGGGGTAACAGGCATAGGTAAGTTAGTAAGTAATTGTTCACTGAGTGTATGTTAGGTATTAAATGCAGACATTAAGCGGGATTATACGGTATCTAACTACTTTATTCTCACTTAAGGTGAATATTCATTTCAAATTAACTTAATGTTTTATTTTACTAGTTAAATATCCAATTTAGTGATAAAACAATCAGTTTAAAGTTATACTTGAATAATATTAATTTATCAAAACTTGAGTTGTTGGATGATCTCATGGATAATTTGTTTCAGTCTTCATCTTAGAAATAATGAGATAATTCGTAGATCTTCAATATTCAATTACATAATTACCTGTCCTGGTGCTAGATTAACAAAACTAGCATATGGTGTAACATTGTTCACATCAGTTTCATTGTTTGGATTATTACTATCATTATTATTCCTATTCATCATTGCACGACTACTTTCGCAAACCATATTATTTCGATTAATTCGATTAGACAAACATGTTCTCGGTGGCAATCGTTCAGCTTGGTAATTTTCTTTTTCTCTGTAAAGTAATTAAATAAAGGATTTATGTATTTTTGTTACCAGATTATTATGTTGTTGACTCTGCTTTCTTGTTGGATATACGATGCAAGTAAATAAAGCAATCCGAGTTGTGGTTGAATTCAAGCCCGTAGGTTATTGAGTTTTTGCACTAACAACAGAGTCACGGAACTCACCTTTTAAGCATACCTCAATTAAAAGTATACAATAGTTGAAATCATGAGTCAATTGAAGCTAGACCACTATAGAAAACCTGGAAGTACTGGACGGCCGTTTCGTCCTAGTATGGGACTCCTCAGCAGTGCGCATCCACTCACGATTTCAACTACTGAAATTACTAGAAAATTTCCACGAAACTTCTTCTGATAAAAGTATAAAACTAATGGAACTTAACCTTAATGGAAAGTGGAGTCTAATGGTACTGTTTCGACCAAAATAAAGTCACATTATACATAGATTTAGTTTAGTTACTTCACTGAGGTTTCAAGAACAATCTTACAATTGACAATTTCTGCTTGAAAACCATAGGATAAAATATTTCTTAGTCTAGTAAATGAAGCATAATAATGGTAATATTAATAATAAGTTTACTAAAAGACGGGAATAGGATTTTATACCGCAAATCAGCCCGGTAGAAAACAATGTCGTTACTCGCAGTCCTATATTGGTTTTTTAAAAATTATAATACTTTTCTAATTAATTACTTATAAAGAGACAATGTTTCATATTCACTGATTGTAATGTCAAATTTTTTTATTTACTTAACTTTAATGAACGATGTTTGACCGAATTACATGGAATCTGTGTACATTTTAGGTTTTCAGTAGATGAATAGTAGCATTAGGATACTTTTTGTCACATATGTCCTCCTGGAAGCAATATTTCCGTCAATTAATCCTTCAGGGGTCAATCTCTCACAAGGAGATTTGGTTATTGACTTGGAACGCACAGATGACATAATCCCATTTGGTGAAGACGCTGAGAAAATTCAATCTTTTGATTTTCTTGAGTAACAGTGATGGCATGGCTGATATTGCATTTCTTTCTCTCCAAATGCGTAATGTTACATCAGGACATCAACATCGGAATTATTGGTAGTAATTGAATTAGTCGAGTGCGTTGAACACCTCATTTATCCTTAAAGTTTCGTAATTTCAGGTAGGTTAGTGTCTAAAGAAATTTTGACATGGATTGTAAAATCTCACGGTTTTTGTCAAAATAAGTCGCTTGTGACGTAGGTAAGAAGTCCATCAGTCAATTAAAAGGCATGCATACTGCGCTGCAGTTCATTCTATATTATTTTCGTGCCCTTAAAACATAGATTTTGAAAGCAGGCTGCATATTTTTGATCATAGATTTCTTCAAAGTATTAGTTGCACATTGTGGAATGATAGTCAGATGATACTATGAAATTGTATTTGATTTGTAGAGATATTCCAAACATTATGGTTTAGAGAAGCAACTCCGTATTTGAATTCATACTTGATTTAGTGAATAATTATTAAAGATGTAGGAAATAACGGGTGTTTCTGATTTTGTTTCGAATGTCTCGGTTTATCGATACTTATTCAATAATAACTCGATTGAATATTGTCACTAATAAATCTTCCATTTATCTACGCATAAATATTTTGGAATTATAATTATAGCTAATGAACTTTGCAGATATATTATTTGGAAAGATCTGCTGCTGAATACGTTGATTATAACTTGTCGTTATACAGTTTTAGCGTAGGCGTTGACTTTTGGTTTAGTGAGTGACTCATTGGCTCGTTGTAATTCATATTTACGCCCACGCTAATATTTCTTTACAAAAAATATTAGAACTTTAGTCAGAATTATTTTATGGACTTCGGCTGCTGCTTATTTGTATTATATCCATTTTTAATCAACAGATCACAGCTACTTTACTTAAGTGATTTCATGGGTTGCATTTAGTCTTTCATTAAAAAGTATGTTCACAACAATGTCCTTATAAAATTATTTAGGTCTTCACTTAGTAGGCAAAACCCATTACGTCAGTAAACATTAATGTAACTGAGATTATGTGATAGTTTGGGAAAATCTTTAATTAAAATCCAAATTATTACTGTATTAATTTAAATTGGATAGCTTAATTTTAAAATAGATATTTTTCGAATTACTAAAATCAGTGTCCACATTACAAAATATGGATTTACGGTGACTGTATAACGGTGACTATTTTTCATTTCCAACGCCATTATCTTGTTAACAATCACATCGTGTGATTATTTTTTCTGCATTAACACTATATAACCAGCTTAAATATCTCAAACAAGTTACTTCTGTAAAACTGACGTTTTGTTACTGTCCTTTAAAAGATGAAAATGGATTCGTTTATGTACCCGTCTATTTCTTTTGAACACCGGTCTATCAGTCTTTAAAAATTCAGGTTTTTGACTCATGACGAGTTTCCCAATGAAAAAACTGACAGCTGATAGTAGATGACTTACTAAGATTACAAGTGTTTACTCAGTGATGAATAGATTTTCATATTGCGAGAAAAGTATCGGATAAAAATAATAAACCAGTGGATGGTTCTGAGAAATTAAATTTGGATAGCCATTGTTTGCTTTATTGTTTTTGTGCTCATCAATATTAAAATCACTAAAAACGTTTTAAACACGGTTCAAAAAGGCTAATATAATCGCTGAGTATCCGGTATGGATAGTGAAAGGGTAGATAGGCTTCCGAAACAAGATATGACTAATAACTGTAATCCAAAGTATAATCACTGATTAAAACAACTCAGTCATTGAAAAACGTATTCACTGGCAATCCTTTTTAAAACTTTGAATATAAATACATATTCGACCCATATCTTTCGTTTCTTTTCATTCTTTTTCTTTCTAGATCTCTGTCGATTTAAGGATCTGTATTCTAGTTAATTAGCTTTCTTCATTTTGTTTTTTTCTCGCTTGGCTGATGTGAATAGTAAAGGCCAAGATAAAATACGAATTTCTGTAAGATCCTATGTTGTTTATATACATCTCTTGGGTGAATTTAAAGTTATTTCTTATGTATACATTCTTCAGACAACCAAAAAGAAGAATAACTCTTAGATTATTTGAAATGACTATTTTTCAGGGATTTTTTAATCAGTTATTATGAAAGATGAATATAGAACTTCAGGTAGAAGCAGTTTGTGCTGATGATGTCGTTCAGAAGTATGATGAAGGTTCCACAACCAAACCATCTAGCTCAGAGAACAAAACCCTGTCAAAATCATCCACCTGAGCTATAAATCTCCACTATATATAACATGATAACAAAGAAAAGATTGAGTTTATCTGAACAGACAAGAGTGCTTTTTTATCAACTGTCAATTTAGAACACTTTGTTTATTAGTTGACGATAACTGAATTAGAGAAACTATACAATGAACAATAACTGCATCACAACAAACATTTACTCATTTTCCTTTTAATTAAATAAGGAACTAAACCAGAAATAAATTCTTGGGCGTGACGCTTAACTAAGAACATAACTGTGTGTGGAATTAATTAGTCAAAGACCATTTAATCAATAAAATTTGTAATCAGCCAGTCCTGCATAAAATGGTAAATTGAAACAGTTAATAAATTCATAGGAAAATTCTCTAACATTTTTTAATTTTTGATTACAATAAGAATTAACTAGATATAGTAATTCCGGTCGTATTGATGACTTAAAATATGTCAAAAAGTAATCGTGAGTTTGTTTAAACTCATATTCAGATATGATTTCAGTTAAGCGAATAGTAGCTGTTATTGTACAGTACCGAGACAACTTGATTATTTCAATCTAACGATGAGTGGATTTCGCATTAGAAGGTGGATTGTTAGAATTTATCTTGTCGATTTCAATAGGTTGAAATCCTCGCTTTAGCTTGTTTAGGATTTAAAAAACACCGACATTTGGTTACTTAAACAATCAATTAAAAACAATCTTTATAAAAGACATTTTCTCGAAGCATCACTACTTCATTAAATATTCTGATTTTTTTATATTGTTTACTGCCTTTTTGTTACTGAACAATGTAGCAACTGGGATAATTCTTTTACAAAACTTTTAATGTTTAATTTTCATCTACAAGTCAGTAAAATTTAGTAAGTAAACACCTCACTCTTTACGCTTTTCGAATATTTCAATGTAATCGAAAAATTCCTGTTGTTTAGTGCTAGACTATTTTTTTCTAATTTAATTAGTTGTCTTTCAGTAATGAGTAGTATCATGCTATTCAACTAAAAAACGTTGGCATAGTATTAAAAGATTTTCGATTAAGATTTCGGTGCTTTTCTTTGAGCTTCATACTTACTATCGAAAAGAGATTTATTATTTTGTTGTATTAACATTTTATGATTAGGAATCATAAGTCCGAGAAAAATATATTTGATCTTTCGACGCTGGATTATTCAGTAAATGTAATGGATTACCGCTTCTATACCTTTAAATACTTAGGATAAAATTTATACAAGAATTGAATTGGTACAGATTACTTTGAAGAAGTTTTATAAGTACACCATGCCAATCTTCAGAAAAAAGCTGCATATGCCCAAAATTTCCTTCATTTTATCGTCTTGAATTGACTAGATACTACTGAAAATCTTTGCTATTTCATTCAAAGAGTAGAGATATATCTGAAATATTCCTATTCATTTCGAACTTAACATGTTGAAAAATGGAATTTATGAAAATTCAGCCTAACAAGTTGAATTCGGCTAATATCTATTTCTCTGAAGTTTAGACACAGGTCGAATACCAATGATAAAGTATGCCAACCTTAGCAATTTCAACATGTTTACTTACGAACTTTTCATATCATTCATCCTAAAGAACGTTTATCTGACTTTCCATATTCTCCCTTACCTATTGTTTCTTTGATTATAGATGATTAGGTCAGGTTAACGTAAATTTATATAAAAGTAATTTAAACCTTCACTCTACTTTTACCCCCAATAAATATGAAATGCCAAATCTAAAATTGCATACAAGGTTGATTATTTTTAGATTTACAACAGAATTAAAAGTTTGTTTTCAGTATTTATGAAGACGATTATTACTTTAGGAATATATATCAGTTTCATAAAGCGCAGGATACAAATTGCTATGGGTATGCAGATAATTTTCATTGCAACATGCAATAATCTCTTATTATTTTTTATCAAATGTTTATCAGTAAGTGAACTTTTATCACATCAGACTAATAAAATATTTTCTCAGAATTCGGACTTACCTTCGTTTTTTCCGTGCGCTGAAATAAAAAAATATTGAAATTAAAAGGTATTTAGCATTTCATTAGGCCTTATATGTAAATGCATTTAAATAGTGTTATAGTAAAAATAACGGTCACTTTAAATCTTCTGGTTATCTATTTTTCAGCTATTCAAATATTGTGACGGATCTTCTTATTTTCAATACTGCTTTTATCATTCAGTAATGCCCATTCAAAACATTATTTATTCATCTGATTTTATCAAGCGTTTGCACTCTACCACCATGGTGTTTTATTATATGCAGTAAGTGAACATATGACAGTTGTTTTTATTCTTTTACTCTTCCATAAAATGTGGAGTAAACACATTAAAATGAGTACACATCAACGGATACATAAAAGCTTCATAATGATATTTCTAAAACATATATTATGCAATATAAAATGAATCTTGATTAGAATCAATCTAGACTGTTAGCAACCAGAATACTAGTAAATTCCATCTCTTATTTTTAATTGAAATTTAGTTTTCGCGAAGTCTACTGAAATCAAATTCTGGTATTTTGATTTGAGAAGCTTTTTGATTTAATTGGAAAATAAAAGTCTAAATAAGTAATATTCAGAAAATTACTTACATCAGACATGATTACCAATTTTATGAATGAGTAAAAAATAATATACATAGTTATCTAGTCGAACTTGACAGAAATATCTACACTAACTATGATATTATGAATTTTAGTCAGTCGAGTAAAAGATGCTTATTTTTTTCCATTTTTAGGACTTATCAATACTTGGAATATCAAAGGCAATCGTTTTAAGAGTCTATATGTTACCATATATTATAATCAGTCCACTTAAAATATATTAGTGAGGTAAAAACAGAAACAAAATACGCTAAAAATTATATCTCGTTTGTTTCTACTGTTAAGTTCTCACATGCTATAATGCTACGTGACAAAACTGACAACGTATGGTTGCAGATTATACATATGGTGGTATCAACAACTTATTACTTCAGGAACACTGTCATTTCCTCACATTATCAATTTGATATTAATAAAAGATATTTCTGTACTTGAAACATTATTCAAATAATGTATTAAAAAATCAGTATAACTAGCTGAATAACGATTTCAACTCCACTCTTCATAACAGTTTACAATTCCTGAGTATACATCTCATTGTTATTTACACAGAATTCGCGTACAAACGAGACTGAAATAGAGTCATTTTAGTTCCATTTTAAATCGAGGAAAAATAACTTGAAGCATTGACGAAAAACTAGGTTTTTCATTTCATTTGACATGGAGTTTCATGAGGCAGATAAATTTGAAAGTAAATTATTTATTTATTTATTATTATTAGCTTTATTCAATATTATATTTTTGGTACAATATAGAATTCTCAACACAAAGTATTTCAACAAGTTTCTGTTTCTTTCTTCTTGGTCTGTCCTGGCGATAAATATTGAGTGATCGTCAGTTAGATGTTAGCCGTCCAGTAAATGAACATCTGAATAAGGTATATTCTTTTCTATGCATATTGCCAGCGACCACATTATCTCTTATTGGGCTTTTTTTAACTTTGACAACGAAAGGTTGTACACTTTTCAGAAATGCATCAGGATAGGTTATGCGATTAATATGCATAATGATATATTAGAACAAACAAGAATAGATAACTTGTTGAAATGTCTAGATGGCAGGAACAGGTAGCCCAGATGCTCAAGCAGGCCGCAATCAAATTGTTAATTATTTTCTTACTCCATACTTAACTATAAAACTTTCGTAAGTTGTATGAAAATACCATTGTGTTATGATTATGAATAGTTTACTTTTTACGTCGGTGTAACTTTTTCAAGTTAAATGCTCTATTAAATACATAGAACTTTTTCGCACTTTAATAAAAGAGATACTTTAGTTTACTTTCATTACTTAACAATACTGGAAATCAACATTCTGTATAATTTTATAGGAAAATAACTTTGTATTGACTGAAAGAATAATTTTTTGTGGAGACTAATTTTGATTTTATTGACCTGGAACACTGAGATCAAAAATATATTTTACCAGCAGATATTATTGCCTTGAGGTAAAATTTGGAATTATTATCATTCCATTGATCACCAATGGTCCTTCTTATATTATAAGTCAATATTTCACTAAATATATTAATTCATTCATTATATAATAATTCATGTTTTACGTGTTCATACTTCTTCCCACCAATTTTGAACTGAACTGATCTTTTGGGTAGTCCAAAAAAACCACAATGGAGTCAGAAATTATTAATCTCTGTGCAATGACTAACTTCCTGAACCACTCGAAAATAAAAAAAAGATTGCCTTTTATGTAACCGATATATTTTTTACAACAGCTAGAAGCTGCTATAGGGTATATTATGAACAGATTCTATTAGTTTAGACGTATTGAGCCGTCAGTTTATTGCATAACAACGCTGCTACGCAGATAATTGTATCAGTCCACAATGTCAAATTCACATTATGACATGAATACACTCACACCATGAAGATAGAAGGTTTTATTTCAATGTAATATCTATTAAGTTTCTACACATACCATCCAGATTAATAACTGATAGCACGCAATCTAATTAGACGATAGAGTAGTCCTAAATTCTAGTTTATGTCATTTAACTACTAAAAATCAGATAGGATATAAAAAAATTTAAAATCGACTAAATAAATTTTGTTTTCCAGATCAAAGGACATTATTTTAGCAAAAAAAATAGTCAGAATTAAGTAAATGTTATATGGAGCCAGAAGTTTATACTATTTAACTTAATCAAAATTCTAATAGATGCATAAATTAAATTCAAAATGTCTTTAGAAAAACCAACTCAAACAAATTTTACACTGATTGTATGATTGAAATGGTACATTTTCAATGTTTAATAATTTGATAAACAAAATTCTATAATAATGTATGATTCACTGAATATTTTATATTCAGCAAAATTCTCAATGTTCAATATTGAATTTTTCAATTTTCCATAAGAAAAACTCTGTTTTTATGAAGACTTCATATAGTTTGGCGGTTAATTTTAATCATTTAGAAAAATCAATAAAATATGTTGAATTATTACCAAAGGGAAATTGGTTGTATTTTTTAAAATAATTTAAGTTGATTGATGGAACTGATTATAATAAATATTATTTATGGTTTATTGGTGAAACAATATGCGCTTGGAAATTTTTTGATCGATATATTCCAAAAACTATTATAGATACTTTCTGAAATTTCACTTGTACTACCCAATAGTTTAGTTTAAACTTAAAATTAATGTTCAAGTATGAAGGTAGTAGTCAGTAATTTAAAAATTCCCACAGAGTATCCGAGAACAAAGAAAATTATAATCTGGAGTCAACGATCGTCTACGTAAAACGTTTACATCAGGCACAATAGTCATAAATCCAAAATTATCATATTTTTATGTCAAATAAAATATTAAAGTTGAATTAATCCATGTTATAAATAGAAAATGGCGAATTCCATGCCATTCGAGTTTTAACTAATGCAAATTACTAACAAAATAAAATAACATCATTGATAGTATTGAAAAAGGTCATAAATAAAAGTCAAGAGAAAATATATGCCTTAATTAAAGTGATGAGTTCTAATCAATAAATCAAAATTTTATGCAAAACAAGTTAATACAAAATGGGAATACTCGTCAGTATAGGGTTTTGCTTCCAGGTTTTCAATGGTGGTCTAACTTGGATCGGTTCATGATTTCAAGAAATACTTGTTCCGTATTTGTTATGATAGTAACAGAAGTAATAATATTGGGAATAATTAATAACAAGATTGGTCTATAGAATAAGAAGTATGAGAGTAGAATTAGAGATAAAACAAAAATGTCTTGGAAGGTTGTATTAATTATAATGACGGGGGAAGATACATAATGGTTATTAAGAATGAAAGAATCCCAATGTGGGCTGAGATTAACAGAGATGTTGCACATAACTTTTCAGTATACACAATTCGTGTTTCTTTGAAGTGATACAAATTGTTTCACCTAAATAAAGTATAAGTAAGTAATCTTGTGCCTTTTGGTAGATTGCTAAGAACGTGTTGCACATTTGAGAGGGGATCTTCAGTTTTAATGTAATGTGCACAGTCAGTGGTAAAGTTTAGGGATTTTAAAAGACTTTATAGCGCTTTTCCCTGAACATGGAGGTATGTGTTCATGAGCGCATAAGGGTAAAGACCTTTGAGTACGACTAACATATTTAGTCCTACAAGAACAGTTAAAGTGATAAGTAGAAATTGATGAACCCATCTTCTTCATTAATGTAGAACTTGTCAAGAAAGTTCCTTGTATTTTAGCGCCGTTAATAGTCGTTTTAATAGATTTATTCATTTGAAGTGTTAAAATCTCAGTTGCTATATCAACTCTGAATTAAAGTCTTAAGTATAGAGCTTTATTTTTCAACTGTCGGTTAACCGCTTTTCGCAGATAATTAGTGCATCACCTGAGAAGTGGCAGTAGTATGACATTTTATATTTCCAACAAATTTGTTCCCAAATAGTATTCAATAAGCTATTCACATACTTAATTCATGAAAGAAGCATTTCAGTTAACGGATTCGTTGTAATAGATCCATTTCGTAACTTTTTATTTCTTTTTAATTTTAGGCGTTTGATGTTAATGGACCACAGTCTCAAGCACTAAATGTTTTTGTTGTTACCTTTTTAATGATTATTATGAATGATATTTTCGTGTTTACAAATCATTCCAAGTAATGAATACCAGAATGTATAACATTTAAATTCATAGGTTTATACCAGTTGACGTTAATCTCATTTATACAAAGGAGAATTAATTTTTTAAGCTGTTAGATACAGTTTCTTATAACAACCATGAAAGATCGTTTAAAATACAATAGAGAGTTATCTAATTCTGATGGCTTCGAACAAATAAAATAATGTTTTTGTATTCTATAAATATTCTATTAAAAATCAACTATTTCTACGAGATTTGACGAGATATCAGTAGTAGCAAAATATTTAACC